ACTGTTGACACAACAGCCATCCATTCAGATCTGAGGTTGTTCATGAAAGTGACATTTTGTTCAATAACCTTTCTTTCAATACCATGCTTTATCATCTTACTCAAAAGATGATTGAAGCGATCGAAAGTTTGAACAAGTTTTTCCTCCGGCTTCTGTTTAAAGTCCCCAAACTCAGATAACAAGAGAGTTTGGATAGAGTGTTCCAGATCTTCATCTGTGGAATATAATTCCTTCAATCTATCCCAAATCTCCTTAGTTGTAGTACAAGAACTAACCAAATGAAACGTATCCGATTGTAGAGAAAACCTTATCATCCGTAGAGTTTTAATGTTGCACTAAAAATTCTCTTTTTCATCCTGAGGAATGTCTTTAACGTCATTAACAAGCTGATTGTATTCTTTCTGTGTTTTAACAATCTTTGACGTGCTTGAGTGAGCGAATGGGCCAGAAGTGACTGCTTCCCAGATTAAATATCCATTGTCCTCTGATCCAATCACATAGTCTTCAAAGTGATGCGTCCAAACTTCATAGTCTTGCGTATACAAGATTGGTATTCTTGTTGTAGATCCTATGTTGTTGGAAATATTGATCGGATTGGTTTTTGAATCGTCCATGGACATTGTAAATACTTTTGATCGATAACCTGTAAAAGATCAGACTTGTAATATTTAGTTAGGGTTGGATTAACAATTAATGAGATACATCAATAAAGAGTGACGACTCAATTAATATCAATCAATGCGGAATTAAAACCCTATGAGCTCCTTCGACAGAAGAGGTGTGTATGAATTACATAGTCTCCTGCTCTGATACCAATTGATGAGATAATAACTCTTAGATCTATTAGATCTTTCACAAGTAAGATAAAAGCAATCAAACAGTTTACTATTAATATGAGTAAGAACACAAAACATAATCAAACTTATGCTTATGATTCAAACAAAGTCACGCCTCAACAGAGCTCGATGAAGAACTTCCACTGTAGAGGCGAGCTAGGGTTTATAGTAGATCTGAAACAAAAACGATGAAAGCGCTAACTTCTAAGTCTACATGCATGCAGCTTATATACTAAACCCTAATACAAAATTATGCATCGCTGGACAGGCCCAATACCGGCATTCAAACTAGGCTATGGACCGAGCCCATGACGCAACCCAATAGACTCAACACCTCTAGGTCCGAATTCATCACTACTCCTCTGAAGATAAAACAAGTACCAAAGAAGAAGAAAGCTAACAAGAAACGCAAGGACTTAACTATTTCTCCTCCTCCCAAAAGGTGTATCCTATCACATACCACGAACTCCCAAAAGTCTGGGGGTGATAATACACCTCCTGTCGGGTCAGAGGAACCTAAAGTTATCCATTTATCTCCTCAAGCAAGAGATGTCTCAAAAGTAAAAGGGGTAAAGTTTTCTTCCACAACCTCTCCCTCTCAAAAGGGTGTTGGAAAAATTTCATCCACTCATCCCCACATTGACAATCCTTTAGGTAAAGTTCTTTGTTAATCATGAAATAATATCTTATTCATTTTTTCACACACTTCACTTTTGAAGCCACTGCTTTGGATACAACTTATGCTTCCAAAACAATGCATATATCCATAGGAAATCCTTTCAGGAATAACATAAACACCATCCTGTAGGAGTGGCTAAAGGTTGATGTTTTTCATAGGGAGGACCCTAGTACATTGGGCGCACACCACGTACGCAGGGCGTACATAATGAAACCGCAAACCCTAATTTTTAGGGTTTAGTCCATATATAAGCATCATTACCTCTTCATTACTCATTCCCCCTTTAGCCTCCAACCTTTATTTCATCCTTTGAAACCATAATCCCTTGTGTGTGATTATTTGAGTTCAAAAGTGTAAGTGTGTGTGTGTGTGTTTGGTGCTTTTGAAGCAAGGTGTAGAAAGAAGCATCATCTTGGGAGATCAAGGCCTTCAAGATCTAGGAACACCTCACCTTCAAGATCCATTTTGAGGTGTAAAGTTATGAACTTGATGATTCTATGCATAGATCTAAGTTAGCCATGGAGTTTGTGTCGTTTTGTTCCCATTATTTGGGTATTTGGAGTATAAGCTACTCTAACCCCTTTAAGTTGTCCTTTCAGTCACTTTGAGGTGTTTAGAAGCATAAAAATGTAGTCTTGATCATATATTTCCTTCCATGCATGTGTTTTGAGGTCTTAATGGGTTAAGTGGTTGACGTTTTTGATGTTAAAAACTTTTTAGCCATGCAAGACCATAAAGTTGGAAAGTTTATGGTCAAAAACGTTTTTTGGGGCTTGAATATGCATTTGGATGTATTAAGTCGAAGAATTAGGCTCTTAATCGGATAAGAAGAGAACTGTCGCAGACGATGGGCGTACCATATGGTACATTGCGCGTACACAGATTTGGCCCCGATGCTCGGACCTCAAGTATGCCCCGCATACGAAGCTTAAGTCGACTCGACTGTGTGGACTTGGTTGACTTGTGGATTTTGACCAATTTTGATCAACGGTATTTTGGGGAAAATGTTATTAATTTAGAATGGGAAATGTTTTGGCATTTAGGATTGGGTTGATCCGGTTGTCGGAGCTAGGAGTTATTCAGATTTCATTCGGACTGTGAGGTGAGTTTTCCACACTAGACTTACGGGTCAAAGGCACCAAGGTCGGCCCATTGGATTGATATCATGGTTTTACCGTATGTTGTTATGTTGTAGTGATCTGTTAGATTTGTATTCTGGTATATAGGATGTTGCTATGTCGTAGTGATCTGTTAGATCTGTATGACTACCTGTACATGCTAGCTATTGATTGTTATGGTATATGTTGATATGTGATGGTATACTGAGTTAAGGCGGTCCTACTTTATGCTGAAGGCCAAGATACCCGGGGTAGTCCGGATAGACTAAAGGCATGTGAGGTGGACCAGTTAGGTCGAAGGCCCAGAGAGCGGTCCAGAAAGGCTGAAGATCCAATGAGGCGGTCCCGATAGGCTGAAGGCCCAGTGAGGTGGTCCATTCATGTTGAAGGATTTGTATGCATGTTGCTATTTGTTATACTTATGTGGTCTTACTTAGGGGGAACTCACTAAGCGTTGGCTTACAATTTTAGTTTTGTTTCTGGTACTTCTAAGGACCATGGCAAGGTGAAGGTGTGACCATACACATCCTTGGTTTTATGTTGATTGAATCTTGGAGGCTTTGATTTTGAATAATGATTTAAAAACAATGGTTATGTAACACCTTTTTTTAGAAAAATGGGTTGTTTTGAAAAGTTTAAATTTGTTGTGATTTTTAAGATGTTACATAAGTGTTGATGCCCTCTCCAAGAATGTTACTTAATCTTTTCTCAAAGTCTTCGCCAAACTGGAGGAAATCAAAACTGGATTCGTGAATGAGGCTAGGTCTTCCTTCATGAAAGGGGGAGAAGATACTCATACTTCCCCAAAGGATGGTGACATGAAAAAGATATTGGAAGAAGTTGTTATTCAGAACTTATCTGGTGACGAAAAAGATTCAAAAATATCTCCCACTTATCCAATATCTCCTCCTAAATGCACCTCTCCTCCGAAGTCACCACAAAAGTCTTCACCTTCAAAATCTTCCCTTAAAGCCTTAGGTTGCGTTTGGTTGTGGAAAATTTTCCAGTTTTTCAGGAAAAATTTCTAAGGAAAACGGAAATTTTGAAAACGCGTTTGGTTCGTCAAGTTTTCCAAAATTTTCATTTTTCCAAATTGTGGGCAAATTAGAAAACTCATTTTATCACTTTTCCAGAGTTTTCATTTTCTAAAACTTTTCCACAACGTCATTAGAAAATTGGGCCTATACGTGTTCATTCTAACAGATCGGGCCTATACGCGTTCGTTCTCACAAATACCCTAATCAGTCGCTATCTCCATTGTGTGGTTCGAGCATCAAGTGTCTCCTCCATCTTGCCTTTGATTCACCATTGGAGCACCGGTCGCCAGAGCCAATTGTCGGGCATCTCAACCCTTTGACCATCGGAGCTTCTGGTTCACAGATTACTTCTGATTCATCACCCATCGAAGACTTTTCCTTGAACAATTATTTAGTATTCAATTTCACCCATTTGCCAAATTGCTTTAAATTTCGTTTCTCCCCCTTTCAGTTTCAATTCATTTAGATATTATCTCTTTAGCAACCACAATACCTTCTCTCACATCTCCCGAATCGAAGGTTGTCTCTTCTTGTTCAAGAATCTCAGGTACTACTCTACAAATTCACCGGTTTCATATATTTCTCAAGTACTATTCTTTTTTTACCTTTTTACTTTCGTTTCTCCCCCTTTCAGTTTCAATTATTGTATCCACCTGTTTTTCATGTCGTTTAGGTTTAACGTTCGACTTCTAGAAAATACCAAATCATAAAGAATTGCTATAATCAGTTTCTGCTAAGTGTTCTTGCTATTTTGTTATTAATTCATATGGGCTTCGTTTCTTTTGTTGATTTTTATTTTGCTTTGATTTACTTGATGTACTTGAATGACCTAAAAATTTGGGAATTTTTGGTTTTCTTTTCTTTTACCTCCACATATTTATTGTTCTTGGTGCTTGTTGTATTTGGCTAACTGATGTCTGATAAATTAGAGCAATTCAGAGTTCAATGCACTTAATTTGAAAATGTAGGAGTGCACAATAAATCAACAGTATCATAAAATTTGAAAAAATTCACTATTTTCTTCTCTGTGTGATTGAATAATTGCACAAAAATATCATGATTCTTGGTGATATTTTCAAAAAGTTACACAACTTAGTGGTACATCTTTGTTGTTTGTGTGATGTTTTTGTCCTATTTATGTGTTGATTTTGTTATTTATATGCTGTTTTTTCTATTGATTTTGCTGTTTATGTGCTGTTTTGAGTTGTTTTGTAATGTTTTTGAGATTTTTTTCTTGTGTTATTTTTGTGTTAATTGTGTTGTTTGTTTGTATGGATTTTGTGTCATTATCGGATTGTGGGGAATTGGTTTAAATTTGGGTGATATATAGATGGGTGGACATAGCGGTGATGCTATGGATTGGACCGAAGAATGTGAAAAGTATTTGTTAGATATATTACACGAAAGAGTTAAAAGAGATCCTAATGGGGCTCCAATCTTCAAAGGAACTGATTGGGTAGAAATGGATGAACAAATTTTTATGAAATTTGCTATAAGATATGGCGCTGAGATGTTGAAAGGAAAATACCACCGTATGAGACCTATGCATACGAAGTTTAGTGAGTTGATCAACCATACAGGTGTCACATGGGATGCTGCATCAGGAAAAGTATTTGCTAATGACACTATTTAGGATGATTATTTTAAGGTATAAACTTTTTTAAGCTTGATAATTTGTTAATTTTGGTTTACTATACTAACTAGTAAGGTATTGTTATGCCAAATATTGCAGCGAGATAAAGTTTTTAAAACATTCAAGAAAAAGGGTTGCAAGATCTATCCATTGTTGATTCTTGTGTTCAGTGGTTCTACAGCTTATGGTGCTTTTCATAATGCATCCACTTGTGCTCCTCAAACATCAGAAGAAGAGCATAGAATTGAGGATGAGTACCTAGATGTGGGTAGTGTTGGCGAGAGTGCGTTTGATGGGAGTAACCGGAAAGGAAAACGTAAGACGGAAGGGGACATTGAGGGTCTACCCGGTACAAGAAGAGAGAAAAAAAAGTGATGGAAACTCCAAGTATGATATCCTTTTAGATGCATGGTCAGATTCAATGATTGCTAGAAAGGAAAGGGATTTAGCAAAAGCAGAGAGATATAAGTCAAAGTATGGAGACACAACAAGCTTGTTTGTAGAGGAATACTCTGTTGGTGATTGCATGGCTACCTTGGAAGCTACAAACGGTGTTAGTTCTAGATCTTACAACAAGGCATTATCGTTCTTTCCTGATATTAATTGGAGAAAAATGTTCCTAATGATGTTTGAGAATAGGAGGAAAGATTGGCTTGATTCTTTGGATGAGTAGTTGTTTTACAATGTAGGGATGTCGTATGAAATTTGATACATATTATTACACTAGTTTATTTGGTATTTGAATTTGATGTGTCGTGTGTTTGATGTTTATGTATGAACTTGATGTCATTTATTGTACATTTTGATATATATATATATATATATATATATATATATATATATATATATATATATATATATGGAACTTGATGTGTTATTTTACTTGACGAGCAGTAATTATGAATGATTTATTATGCAGATAAAGTGCTACAATGTCAGATTCCTCATATAGTAGCTTTTACTTAGATGATGATGATGATGATGATATGGATGATATGATGATGTTCTTTTTCATAAAAAAGCACGAGAAGAATTTTATTGATCGAATTCCTTGTAGGACATCTATGCTAAGTGGAAAAGAATATATTAGAGAGATATTATGCGGGAATCCTATTCAGTGTTATGAAGCAATTAGGATGAAGCCACAAGTTTTTTTGAACTTGTGTGATAAACTAAAGATGATGGGTTTGTTGCAAGATCGTAAGGAAGTAAGTGTAGAAGAAGGTTTGTCAATGAGTTTGCGGATTCTTTATCATGGCACAACACAACGTTTGATTTCTGATCGCTTTCAACATTCGACTTCGACTGTGCATTATTGGTTTAAGAATGTATTAAGAGCTTTGATGTGACAATCGTCAATCTTGAGTCAAGTCAAGTCATCAAGTCAAGCCGGTCAACTCGATTAAACCTTGTGTATTAGGGTTTGTGTTATGTTCATACTGTATAACTTGCTATATTAATGGGAAAACATCACTTGAGAAAAGTCTTGTGTTAAAATTTCCTAAGCCCTAGTGTTAATCAATGAATTAAACTGATAAAAACCATGTTGCATACTCATCGGGAGTGTGTGGGATCCTTAATCATGACTTAACGGGGCTCAAGAAACTTGCATTGCGAAGCCAAACACTCACAAATGCCACACTTGAAATCTCTATCAAATATCTCTTTGTATGAGAAATCTCTCCAAGAATGTCAAATCTCTCCCAAATCTCTCCAAGTATGTGAAATCTCTCTCAAATATCTCTTTGTATGAGAAATCTCTCCAAGAATGTCAAATCTCTCCCAAATCTCTCCAAGTATGTGAAATCTCTCTCAAATATCTCTTTGTATGAGAAATCTCTCCAAGAATGTCAAATCTCTCCCAAATCTCTCCAAGTATGTGAAATCTCTCTCAAATATCTCTTTGTATGAGAAATCTCTCCAAGAATGTCAAATCTCTCCCAAATCTCTCCAAGTATGTGAAATCTCTCCCAAATCTCTCTCAAAAGTTCCCGTAACTTTTTGGAATCATTCGAGTCATTCCGACCCTTAACCGGGTCAAAAACGGCTTAAAACGGGGCGAAAACGAGAAAAATAGGCTTTAGGAACCGAAACCAAGAAGAGAGGCCTCTTAGGACCAGAACCGAGCCTCTGTTGGCTGAGGCATGCGAGACCGAGCCTCGGTCTCTGCCCCTCTCGGTCTCTCTTCTGGTCGCTCGGTCTCTGTCTTCTCACTTTCTGTCTCTTCTCTTCTCTTCTGGTCGCTCGGTCTCTACTCCGCCTCTCTGTCTCTTCCCTCCTCTCGGTCTCTGCTCCTTCTCTCCTCTCTGTCTCTTCGCGCCTCTCTGTTCTCTCCTCCCCCCTCTCGGTTCCTACCCTCTCTCTTCTCTCCTCTCGGTTTCAGCATCAGAAGGCCGAACCTCGGCCATATTTCGGAAATTTGTCACTTTTAGCCCATTTTTGATATTTTTAACATTTTAAGCCTGTTTTTCGTGATTTTAAAGCGGGATTTTCTCCAGAAATTATATTTTAACATAATAAACTCTAAATATTCATAATTTAAACATATTTTTATAAAAATCATTATCTAAATAATAAAGATCTAATGGGGGATTTATTTAAGGTGGAGTGTTGACTTTGCCTTAACTTATGACACAAGCAACCACCCCACACCCACTCTATCACCAGCCATACCTCCCCACCTTACCTATGTCACTTCAATGTCCCTTACACTCAAATTACACTCACTCCCACGTTTTTGAGCTGGAACAAACACCCACTCTCCTGATTTTCTCTCATTTGCTCTCGTTCCACTAAGTAACAAACACCACTTTTCTCTCAAACTTTTTCTACACAAATTTCGAGATTCAAGGCTGATTTCAAGTGTTCTTCCACTCTTAGTAAGTAAAATTCATCCTCCCTATTATTATTTCACTTCATTCTACTCAAATCTTTGATTTCTTACACAAACTCCATAACTATAATGTTAGATTCTCGAAAATCTTCAAGGCATCTCCAAGTGTTCTTGAATTAAACACTTCCATTCTTCAACAATCATCTACTGAAATCACTTAAGGTGAGTTCATACCCCTACATTTTCATGTTTTCTCAAGTTTTCAGGGGGGGGGGGGGAATACAAGTTAAAACACTAAGAACATAACTAAAATTTTCTAACAGCCTTCATCAGAAAAGTTCAACTCCATTCACGGACTGTTTTGGGCATCTTAAACATTTTTGTTTTCAAAACTGTACAAGGTAAAAATAGTTCAAGTTCTTAGCTTTAAAATGGCTACTTGCACATCTCCATACGATTTTTCTACAATTTATGGTGATTTTTACAAAACTGCCTATCATTTCAAACAACAATCCGGTCCAGTCTGTGATTTTGGACTTATTCACCCAGGTTGGAGGTCCTTAAAAATCGTGATAAAAATTATGAGTAAACCAGACACATTTTGTGAACTCTCAGAATTTACGGATCTAGTTTTCGACTTCGTATGATTTTTCTATGATTTTCCCAAAACAGGGCAGAATGGCTAAAGTTAGCCAACAGCATGTAAATATCATAACACTTTGTATTATGTTGAGCAAAGTGTATAATCATAAGTTCTAATTATTGAATGTGTTTCCTTGTTAGTTTGTCATCATGAACTGAAACTAAGTAATTCATAATAAATATTATTCATTCATTTTAGAACACGTATATTAAACTATAAAAAGTATAGTTTGATAAATTCATATCACTAATACATTTCCATAAAAGAGTTCATACATATTACATACATTTTAGATAAACTATAATAGGTATAGTTTATGATACATCACTCAACACACTCGTACAAAAAGGGTACATTCATACAAGAAAGATTTATGTTCACACACATTTCACATAAACTTGTTAACCTATATTGTGAGACTCTCTCTCTCCCCGTACGTCCGAGTGCGGGATATACTTCCTGGTAGTTATAATCAAAATCTCCTTGAGGGAGAACGTGATACTTGTATATAGATCTATATTGGGTTTGACACCCCACACCTTGCTGCTAGCTACAGTAGGACCTGCAGGTCTACGGGTGACAAATGTCATTTCATTTTCGCGACGCTTGAGAAACGTTGTGGCAGGTTCACATAGTCACAGTATGATTATAGCGACTCACCTAGGGAGATAACAATTCATAAAGTTTACGGGATTTCATAAAACCGAAGTAGGTTTTAGGTTGATTTAAAATTTACTTTCCATATCATTTCAAACTCACGACATTTCTACTAAGTAAGGATGATTTCTTATACATTTTGGTCTTGGTTATAAGGCTACATTTTACAGATTTCAAGGAAAATATCGGATTTTCCTAAAACAAACGCGACATTTACATGTGAAAGACTTCTACTAAGTTTTATAATAAAAGCTTATGAACTCACCAACCTTTGTGTTGACACTTTTCAAACAACTTGTATTCTCAGGAAAACACTAAACAGGTAATCAAGTGCTTTTGAGGATGGGACGTTAAGGCGTCAAACTTTTCATATTTTGTCAACATATTGTAATTGATTTTGAACCATGTAATTCATACAAGTGATGTAACTTTTTCAATTATATATATGTTGGTTGTGTTTGCTTAAATTACTATTGAAATTGTGGTTATGATACTATACATGAAGTCCTCCACCCCCGGATGTTTCCGCCATCCTTGGTTTGGGGGTGTGACATTTGAAGGTGTTTGCTCTTTCAGTAGTTAAAACAATTGATAGAGGTGAAGCTCAACCAGAAATTTGAGCAAATTCAAGATGGTATCCATTCTTTAAGGTATTCATTGATCTCTCCTTATTAATATTTACACATATAAGCTCTATTTCTATATATATATATATATATATATATATATATATATATATATATCACACAAATATATATAATTTCTATGCAGAATTGTATTGGTGCTATTGATGGCACACATGTAGCAGTTTGGGCTCCATCATCAAAGCAAAAGTCATTTCGAGGTAGAAAAGCAGTTCTTGTAACACAAAATGTGATGGCAATCTGCTCCCATGATATGATGTTCACTTTTGGGTATGCCGGCTGGGAGGGAACAACAAATGACTCTCGTGTATTTTACGATGCTTTTATTAGACCCGAAAACAAATTTCCAATACCAACTGGTGGTAAGATTTCTCAAATTTTTGTTTATCTTATTTATTTAATCTAGTTTTTAAATACTCTAACTCAAATATATATATATATATATATATATATATATATATATATATATATATATATATATATGTGTGTGTGTGTGTGTGTATTTGCATTATATGGTTGTAGATCATTTTTATGTTGTTGATAGCGGGTATCCAAATTTGAAGGGATTTTAGCACCATATCGTGGTGAACGGTATCATCGTTAAGATTGGCAACGTGTTAGTGGAGTTAGGGGAAAGAAAGAATTATTCAACTTTATGCATTCATCCGTTCGTAATGTCATTGAACGAGCATTTGGTATTCTTAAGAAAAGATTTCATATTTTGCAAAATATACCAAATTATCCGTTGAGACGACAAATGTTGATTCCGCGTGCATGTTGTGCATTTCATAATTACATACGAATGGAAGATAGGGCAGACACTTTATTTACTAGATATGGTGATGAAAATATTCACAACTTTGAAAAGAGTTTGCAAGTGGTTCAAGAGGGGTTTC